TTTATAAAAGCTAAAGCCCTTATTCACGCAGAGAACTTTGAAATATTTCCTAAAATTTTTAATAATTATCTTTTCGAAAATATCTTAGCTGATGAATTTTCAAATCATTATAACTTTTATATGTTTCCATTTGCATGCTATAAGTTGTCATGTTTTTTGAATTATTTATAAGTAGATACAACCTCTTATTTTTGTAATTATAGTTGTGATTCAGACAAGTACTTATATATGAAGTACAAAGAGATTTATATAAAATTCAAATTTTCATTTATGGTGCTTAATTTTTATAATTACATCTCCAACTTATTATTTTTGTGTGTGAATCTTGTTTAAAAGTAGGAAAAATTACCTAAATACACAACTTATTTTACTATATTTTCTACCATTTGAAAAAAATATAAAAATCTCTACTTTACGCGATGTATCAGTCGGATACATCACATTACGATGTATCGGGACGTACGCGAGGTATCAGGACGTAACTTTATGTGATGTATCAGCTTGATATGTATCAGTCGAATACATCACTTTACGATGTATTGGGACGTACGTGAGGCATCATGACGTTACTTTACGTGAAGTATCAGTCGGATACATCACTTTACCCGATGTATCGAGACATTGAGTGATGTATCCAAAACTGAGATGTGATGTATCAGGACGTTGAGGGATGTTTCCGAAACTGGGACGTGATGTATCAGGACGTTTTGAGATATATCCGGATTCCACCAAATTTACGGGATTTTTTGTAATTTGAAAAATAGTATGAATAAAACATAATTAACTCTTAATACTATGAGATTTGTGTAAAATCTTAATACGAGATAATTAATAATTATTGGGCTTCAAATATTATGAAATTTTCAGACCGATACGTACGTTAAGTGGCTATATAAGAAAATGATAACAACATTTAAGCACACAACTTAAAACGTAAGGACTATACAAAGTTTTTGATCTAGTGATGAGCCTAATTAAAAAAAAAATTTGGGAAATTTTTCAAAATGTCAGTATTTTAGCATTTAATATAGGATCTCTTAGCCACACTTTCAATATTTATTAAAAATGTCAATATTTTTCTTTTGTCATAGGGCTGATTATGTATTTTTTTTTTCATTTGTTTAATTTTAAAGAATACAATTAGTTAATAACAGAAAGGAGAAAATCATGGGAGAGAGTAATTTAAAAACTTTTAAACTGAAATTTAAATAGAGAGATATTGAGATACATTGTGATGACAGAAATACAAAACTTTTGATGGTATACAATTAGAATGAAAGCAAATAAAAAATAAATACAAACAAAAAATATGTTGTTTTTCAGATAATCAGCTAGAAATATACTATTATGAACTACTAACTGTGTAACTGCTGCCGAGGTTGAATACAATTTGATGATAAAAATACAAAATTAGTAGGCATACAGTTAGAATAAATACAAAATAAGAAGCAATATAACAAAAAATATGTTGTATTCCACATAATCCCCACAAAATAATATTATGTACTATACAAAAGTTGTATCTAAACAAAATTATGTTGTATTCCACACAATCAGCTGCAAAGATACTATTATGAACTACTAGCTTTGTATCCACTTCTGAGGATGAATACAATTTGATGGCATAAATATAAAACTAACAGGCATACAAATATAAGAAAAACAAAAATATGTTGTATTCTACATAATCCCAAAAATATGAGATTATGAACTACAAAAATTGCATCCAATTCATAGTATGAAAACAAAATGAAAATAAGATTACAAAACTTTATGAAGTTGTTCATTAAGCCACAATCTGTTCAAGATTTTTTTTAAAATGGAAAAATAGTACTATCAATTAAGTTTTCAAGGATTTGGCATACCTTCCAAAATGAATTTTGCTTTAGTCTATAGCACAATAATTAGGAAAACTTGATGAGATTACGTGGTGCTAAATCAGAACATAAAATGCTCATTTTTTACTTGAAAAAAATGATGAGCATTTTAGTTGTGGCTAAATCAATGGATTGTTGTGAATATCTTTTGGGAGATTTTTACAGATTTCTGAAAATAATTGGAAAAAAAACGTTACCTATCAAAGAGAGAGAAAGAAAGGAGGAATTTGGAGTAAAAATCTAGAAAGAGGTGAAAGTGGGTAATAAAGTTTTTTTATTATTTTACTTTTTCACTAGGTAGTGGTAAAAATGAGTCCAATGTGGCATTGATTTGAGAAATAAAAGGAAAGAAAATTAATTATATTAGGATACATTATATTTGCTAAAATATTGACATATTGTCATTTTCAATAATTATTTTAAAGTGTAGATGTTTTTAATAATTATGTTAGGTATTTTGACTAGTTTGCTAATTTTCCCTTTTTTTTTTGGTTTCTCACCCGGTGTCCGGAGCCCACATTGGAGCTCCAACTAAATCCGAATCGCGCTCTGCAGGGCCCATTCGGGAGTGACGCTTCCAACAGGATTTTCTCCATATCCAGGGCTCGAACCCAAGACCTCTGATTAAGGGTGAAGCACTCCCATCACTGCACCACAACCTATGTTGGTGAGCCTAATTAATTACTTATATTTGGGGTGTGGGATATATACTTGCAACTTATCCTAATTTACTTTGTAAGGAGGACCAATGTGACATTTTTAAATTTGGGGACGGAACTAATAATTTTTGCCAGGTTTAAGGATGTTTTTAACATTTCTCTAGACTTTTTATTAAGAATCTCATGTTCCTACAAGAGTTTGAGACCACTTGTTATGGCATGTGGCAAATCAGAGGTGTATTTAAGTTCAATTAGTTAAGTAGATGAGTGTTTTTAAGGCTATCAATAGTCCGAGGACGAAACTAATAATTCGCGGCTAACACTACTTGAAATTATGAATGCCGACCTCCAAATTTCCTACCTCCGATGGAAGTCGGTAATTTCCGACCTACGAAAGTCGATATTGTTAAAAAAAAATTCATTTTATTAAAAAAGAAAACCGACTTCAAGAAATCAATTTTTTAGGCAAACAATACATGAAAATCACATACCGACCTTCGGAGGTCAAAAAAATTCCCAATAAAATTTAATAAAAGAAAAACCTCAATCTCTTATAGTAGGTATTGAATTACTAAATAAAGAGTAATAAATATGTAATTACCCGACGAGCATGCAAGCACATGGCGGAGATGGGAGGGAGATACACAGATGGGGGCCCTCGACCTAATGGCTTCGGGCACAACTTGCTTTCAAAGACTTGTTGTTCACAAGATTCTGCAATTCATACTAATTATACTTCTCTCTTTTTAAATTTAAATTATGAATTCTCCTCCGATATATTGAGATTCATTGCACCCACCATGTATGTAGGTTAAATCATTTGATCCGTCCATTATGAAACCATTCCCGTATGATTCGCACAAACCAACATTGGTGGCATGTGCAACACTATACTCTCTTTTTCATTTGGGAGATTTGTTCTTCAAAATTATAGGACCCCTCCATTTTTGTCCCCACAAAGGTACAATTTTTTTTCTTTTTTTCTTACAAATAAACCTAACTTTCATATTCCAAAATTCAATCTTACTAGTCAAATCTATGCCAATTAAGTGGAAACTTTAATTTACTAGAGTGGTTCACCTTCCATCCATGTCAATTCAAGAGGTGGTAGTCACTCACTCCCCTATAAAGAAAGATAGTTTCTTTTTTTTTTTTGAAAATATAACCAATGACCATAATCAAAATGGAATTTGAAATCTTGAAAAAAAAAGAGGAATCTTTTATTTAAGGGATATAAAAGGTGACACTATATGGTTATGTCACATCTCGAACTATCCCTTAGATGTGATTGACACCTAACAAACACTATTGTCCAGGTGAACCTGATTCTGTAACACTTAATATTCTTATGAGTTAATAGTTGTGTACATATGGTGCAGTATCATGGTGTCATACCATGTCCACTGTGTGCGGCCCTTGTGCAAGGCTAGGGGTGTCATACTCCGTGTCCTGCACCTGTGACACATAAGTTTAATTTGCCTTGTGTTATGGCTCGATTGTGCATCACACGCGCTTATAACACATGCATATAATTTTTCACTTACTTCAAATTAAATATGTTAGAAACCACCCCGAGCCCCTCTATTCCCAACCAAAATCACAAATCCAAAGACATAATATATAAAGTCATAAAACATGAAATGGGGCACAAAAGCTCAAAATAAGGGGTTGGATTGTTACAAGTGCAACTTAGTTCTATTTTTACATACAATACTTAATTCTCAAAATTAAGATATAAAATTTGTGCTTTTAGTCCCTTCAGTATCACCAAATTTTAATTTTGGTCCTTCTAATATCCGTTTAAGCACATTTAATTTAACCTTAAATAAATTAAATTGTATACTTTTGGTCCCTATACTTGTGAATCTTATTATTAACCATTATACTATTTAATTAGCCAAGTACTATGTTAGGTTTGTACTATTACATTATGTTTGAGGGTAATATTGTTCTAAATATAATTTATAGTATATATAAATTGATTAAAAAAACACATATTTCATCAATTCATCTAATTGAAAGTCAGATGTGCTTAGCCATATATTAGAATGATCAATAACTACGAGATGACCGTATATGTAATACATTTTTAATATATGACCAATTCACAATATCACCGCGTCTACATCAGATTCTTAAATCATGCGAGCCATATCTCAAAATCCAGAAATAAAGATGAGTAGTAATTAGTAAAACATGACTATTCAATCAATTAAATAAAAATGTAGTAATAATAACACAACATTGTTTGATCATTCAACTTAATTAAACAAAATTGAGTTAAGTTATTTTTCAACAAATCAAAAAGTTGTTCCTATCTATACCCTCGAATCTAAAAATTCATGAAATGACTGATTCGACCTCTGAATTTACACTCAGTATCAAATCCCCACACCCGTATCCGAACAACATAGGTGCTTACCTATTGGGATATCATTAGTAACTTGTCTATAAGATGCTTGACCAAATGATCATTCTCCACAATCAAAAGATGGTACAAAATCACAAAGGAATAGAGATGAACATGATCACAAAGGTTGATCAAAATGAAGCAAGAGACACTTATAAAATTTCATACATAATCCATTTCTTGCTTGGTGCTGGCAATTTGTTACCTTGGAATGCCTTAATCACTGCTGTTGATTACTTTGGATATCTTTATCCAACAAAACATGTTGAGAAAGTTTTCTCTGTTGCTTACATGACTTCATCTCTTTTGATTCTTGTTTTGATGTTGAGTTGGAATAAATGGAACCAAACAATGAGTCTTAGATTGAGATTGAATCTTGGTTTTTCTATGTTTGTTCTTTGTTTAATGGTAACACCAATTGTTGATTGGATTAATTGGGATCAAAATGGAACAAAGGTGAAGTCAAATGCAACATATTGTGCTGTGGTTGTATCTGTTGTTGTTTGTGGTTTGGCTGATGGTTTGATTGGTGGAAGCTTGATTGGTTCTGCTGGTAAGCTGCCTAAACAATACATGCAAGCAATTTTTGCTGGAACTGCTTCTTCAGGTATACAAGTCAAACTTCTCTGTAACTACCTCGTTTGTCTGGATATTGTTTGGTTGAATGAAATGTTGTTATAGAGAGCATGCAATATAACATAACATGAATGTCGGTCTCAAAGAAAAGTTTGTTGTTATAGTGAAATGTTGTTATTAAGGATGATTGTTATAGAAACGTCTGATTGTATATCATGGATTCAAGATTTAAGACTTTAACTCATCGTACGTTTGATATTATGAGTTCAAAATTTAATATTTGTTGAAAATTTAGTGTGTTTTTTTCCACTTAGCTCAAGCTTGGTTCTTGAATTTTATCTTTTTGTATATTGAACTTGTTTTTATTTTCACTTAATCAATGTGTTTTCTTTTTCAAATTGCTTAGAAAATGAACATATAGTCGAACCTCTCTATAACAGTCTCGTTTATCTGGATATTTTTTTGATTGTTATAGTGAAATGTTGTTATAAATAACATATAATATAACATAATATGAAAGTTGGTTCCAACGAAAACTTGATTGTTATAGTGAAATGTTGTTACGGAGGACGATTTGCTATAGAAAGGTCTGACTGTATAGCCGATTCAAGATTTGATATTTGTTGAACATTTAGTGGTACTCTTTTCACATAGCTCAAGCTTGATTCTTGAATTTTATCTTTTTCGTATATTAAACTTGTTAATGTGTTTTTTCAACAGGTGTTTTAATTTGCATATTAAGGATTATAACCAAAGTATCACTTCCACATACTCCACATGGTCTAAAGACAAGTGCTCATTTCTACTTCATAATTAGCACAACAGTTTTGATAGTGTGCATCATCTGTTGCAACTTGTTGTATAAGTTGCCAATTATGCAGCAACATTACACACATCTTGTTCAAGATTTCTTGCCATGTTCGAGGCATAAACTCCGCGATGTGGCAAGAACTATAAAGTGTCCTGCATTTGGAATATTCGCGATTTACACTGTGACATTATCTATTTTCCCAGGGTTCTTAGCAGAAAATCTTGAATCGAGTGTGTTTAAAGATTGGTATCCCATTCTACTTATAACAATTTACAACGTAGCGGATTTCGTTGGGAAATCTTTCACTGCATTGTATGTTGTTAAGAGTACTAGTAAGGCTACATGGGGTTGTGTTGCTAGGCTATTGTTCTATCCTCTGTTTACAGCTTGTTTACATGGTCCTAAATGGCTAAAATGTGAAGTGTCAATTGTATTTTTAACGACGATGCTCGGTCTGACCAATGGGTACTTGACAAGTGTCATTATGATTCTTGCTCCCAAGTCTGTGCCAAGTTCTGAAGCTGAAATTGCTGCAATTGTTTTGGCTGTTTCATTAGGGATGGGATTAGTGGCTGGTTCTGTTCTTGGTTGGTTTTGGATTATTTGAAATGCTATTATTTAGGAAAATTAGTAGAACCTTAAGTTAGAATTCATAAATATTGTGTTGTGATCAATGTATTTATGTCATTATGGGGAAAACAATGTTACAATTTAATGAATTGTGTTCATCAAACAAAGGAAATCTTTGATCGCGATTTATTCGTATGTTCTTTAAATATTTTAGATTGTTGATATTTGTGAGTTATCTAACTTATAGTACCTTTTAGATAGATTCTATGTCTAAATTTGTGACTAAAATAAAAAATTGAACTCTTGAAATTGTGTCATATAAATTGGGATGGAGAAAGTAATTTTCTAGCTATTCAAGTTTTGGGACCAAAGCTAATACCAAAGTCAAGCTGCCTGTTATCTCTCTGCTGGTTATTGCAATTCATTTTCAAGAAGGAATCAAAGTAACTTATGTACACTGATAGTGTAAATAAATTTTAAAAGGAAATCTTGATGCAACAGTAAAGTTGTTTTTGTGAGGTTCGAGCTGTGGGATTAGTCATTGATATTTGTATCAGGGTAGGTTACCTATAGAGGTGGAGACAAAATTTAAAGTTTATGAGTTTGGGATTCTAAACCTTTTCAATTAGTGGGTTCTAAATTGATAATTTATATATATTAAATGACTTTTTTACGATAAATACAAAGTTTGAACCAAAGTTACTAAATTCGATTGAATCTATTGTATAGGAAAAAATTAGGCAAGATATGTGGACAAGTTACATGCAGACACGTGGAAGGAGAGCAACAATGGGTGTGGAGGTACGGTAAGGAGCATCATAACAAATTTAATGTTAGCAAGACACATATAGATGGGGACAATTCTTAGGCATCTTAATGTGCAGCTATACATAGTTCTTTAAGAATAAAGACAGCCTGCAAAGATGTTAAGCAAGAATATAATAATATTGTTGAATGGCAAACAACTAGTCATTTAGATATTTGTTGTCTCGTGTTGCTTATATACCTAATTTTTCTAACATTATTAATGGAGAATATTTTTTGTCTTGGAGTTTCTCAAATATTAGTTTTTTTAATGACATGCATTTGATATTAATAGAATAATCTTTAAAATCAAGATCTTAGAGGGTCAAATGAGGAGCGATATGTTAGGAAAAACTATAATTGTATAGTAATCAGAAAATATATTCTTTCTTAGAATATGATTGATTTACTAAAATATACATTTACAATCATATATACTCCTTCCTAGAATAGAATTTTAACCCTACAATTGTATAGCTATAAATATGTGCTTTCTACTAGGGGTGTACATGGCCGGGTTGGTTCGGGTTTTTCAAATATCAAACCAAACTATTTGTGTCGGATTTTTAAATCTATAAACCAAACCAAACCAATAAAACTCGAGTTTTTCAACCTCGGATTTTTTCGAATTTTTTCAGGTTATTCGAATTTTTGGGTTTTTTCAGATTTTCCTGGTAAAGTATTCATACAAACATATAATTTACTTGTACTTCAAATATTTCTTTAGTCCTACCAAAATACAACTATCTAAGGTGTTTCTTAAGAAAATAACACAAAATATGATATGAGTAATGACACTAAAATATCCAACAAATTAATAATAATAATAATAATAATAATAATGAAATCGCGTAAAAACAAATATTGCAAATTAACAAGTCATAATAAAAATGATCATAATTTAAAAGTACTAAATCATGCTAAAATAAGTTTAATAAATAGTAGTTACATGACTAAATATTAAAGGAAATTAAAATTAGGTTATGTATTTGAATTGTCTAAACCAATGTAAAACCAAAGAACAAATATTCAATATTATTGTCATTCTTATTGTTGAATTGATTTTCTTTTTGCATTAGTATTAATTTGATTTTGATTTAAATTTTATTATAATTATCAACATTTGTGGACTATAATCTTTATTGAATCATTCAGAATTCTAAGTTTCAAACTTGAAATAATATATTAAAAGATAAAAACTATGAAAAAGTATAAGAAATATTTAAAAATTATATCAAAGTATATATTTTTATGTATAAATTTTTTTAAAAAAATTATATATATAATGTCGGATTGGTTTGGTCTCGGGTTGGTTTTTTTTAGTTAAAACCAAACCAACTCAAATATAGTCGGGTTTTTTTTCAATACCAAACCAAGTCAAACCAACCACTAGTCGATTTTTTTTTCTCGGTTTGTGGTTTGATTCGGTTTTCGATTCGGTTTTGTACACCCCTACTTTCTACTGTGTCATTAATATATTGAGAATACTATTTTTCAGAATATCTTTTGCCACTCTAGAATGGTATCAAGAGCCATCGGTTAACAATTTGTCCGTGCTCTTTGCTTTTTCTACACAGGTACCTTGTTACCTTCCTGCGTTCTTCTTGTCTTTTTGTATTTGTCCCTTTTTTTCTTTCTCCGTTATCAATGAATTCACAATCATCTTCGCACTATTTGCTCTCCACAAAATTGGATAGTTCCAAGTTCTCTCTATGGAAATTCCACTTTGGAATTTTTGTTCAAGGAAAGGGCCTTTTTGGGTGGTTAAATGGTTCTGTTGGTCTGCCAACAGATGAAAAATAGTTGGATCAATGGAATTTGAATAATGCGAAGGTAATCGCTTGGATGCTGAATTCGGTACATGCTGACATCGCTATGGTACTTAGACCATTTAGTTCAACTTCAGAGATATGGCTCCACCTGCGTAACGTTTACCAACAAAGCAATCTTGCACGAGAGTTTGAAGTGAAATGCAACATTGCTGAATATACACAGGGAGACAAGAATATTCGTTCCTTTTATGCCGGCTTGCAGTTGCTCTGGTCAGAACAAGATCAAATTTCTGGGTGAAATATGTCTACGACAGGGCTCAAGGAAGTGTTGGGAGAATGACAAAGAATAAGGATGGTACAGTTCTTGATGAAACTCCGGTATGAATTCGAGTCTATTCGTGGCAGTTTGTTGAACAGAGAAGTCACACCTACTCTTGATGTTGTGTTGACAGTCGTCTTGTGTGAAGAGACTAGGCTTGAAACTCAGGCGGCCATGGAATCGATGACATAACCCACTGTTGCATTACTTGCACAAAAATCAACTGTCGGTACTTCATCAGGAAATACTAAGAGAATTGTCCAGTGCTATGAATACAACGACTTTGGTCACATAGCAGCCAATTATCCTAAGAAGAAAAGATTTTGTGCTTACTGTAAGATTACTGACCATCATATTTCAGACTATCGTCGTTGTCCAAATCGTTCATTGCCTTCTCACTAAGCATACCAAACAGATGTCACTAAATCGGTTGGTTCCTTCCCTTCTGGACATGATCTTGAAAGGTTGATTCGAGATTCTATAGCAGCTACCCTTCCCGGAGCCATCTCAAGTGCATTCTCGGCATCCTCAAGTACAAGTAATTCTATTAAATTTACTTGGCATCTAGATTCGGGTGCTTCCAATCATATGACTGGAGATCTGTCCCAATTTTCTTCATTGTATGATAATGTTTCTAAACATGTTATTCATACGGCAAACGGGAATACATTGCTTGCTTCGGGTATTGGTTCTGTTGGAAATTTGTCTAACGTTCTTTATGTACATAATTTGAAGGCTAATTTGGTTTCAGTAGGTCAGCTAGTTGATCAGAATTGTGTTGTAAAATTCTCACCCAATGATTGTGTTGTTCAAAATCTGAAAATCGGGATGACCATGGCCAAGGGGCGTAGAGTTGGCAGAATGTTTCTTCTAGAGTCGGTTCATTATCATTTGCATCAGTTTTCTTTTAGTTTCTGCCACAGATGTTACTCGCTTGAATAAGTTGCTCATTCCTCTCGACTTTAGCACATGCTCAAATCATGTCTTCCAGCAATACATGACATTCATTCCAGTCTCCCTTTGACATGTTTTAATTGTGCCGATTTGAAAAGTCACAAGCTCCCTTTTTCCATCTAGTTCATCTTCTTATGACGATCTGTTTGATTTGGTGCATGGTGATGTTTGAGGTCCTTCTCCTACTTTGTCAAAAATGGGATATAAGTACTTTGTGTTATTTATTGATCATGTATCTAGATACACATGGTGTTTTTTATTCGAAATAAATCTGAGGTTTCGACTCTTATTATGAATTTTGTTGAGTATGTGTATACAAAGTTTCATAAAACTATAAAAATATTTCGTTCTAATTCTGGAGGAGAGTACACTAAGACTAATCTTGTTAAGTTTTTCAAAAACAAAGGAATTATTTCTCAACGCATTTGTCCTCATACTCTGGAACAAAATGTAATCGTAGAAAGGAAGAATCGACATGCTTTGGAAACTACATTGGCTTTGTTGGGCACATCTAGTATGCCTAAGAGTTTCTGGCCTGAAGCAGTACATACTTCTGCATATTTGATTAATAGACAAACTTCTCCAGTCATTGCTAATGAGACACCGTACTTCAAATTATTTCATAAGAAGCTTGATTATTCTCACTTGCGAGTTTTTGGTTGTGTTTGCTTTGTCCATATTCCAGCACATGAACGACAAAAGCTTTCAATTACTAAGGCAACGCAATGTATTTTTGTGGGCTACAATGACACACAAAATGGGTATATATGTTATGATGCATCTCATCGCCAGCTTCGTGTATCTAAACATATTATTATTTTTTAGGGTCAATTTTCTTACAAACACAATTCTAAACATGATTTAGAATATGTTTCCTTTTTGTACAAGTTTGATGATGATGTGGTATATACTGATCATCCGGAGCAGCCCATAAACTATGATTATGATGATCTCCAGCTGTCATGTTCTTCTGTTGTTGACTTTACATACGCATCCTCATCTTCCGAAGAGGAATCATCTCATCCAGTTACTCCCCCACGCAGATCTAGTCGAACAAATCGCCATACTCCTGAACGACTCAGTTACTCTCCAGGGAAGTTTGGTAAGTCTTATGCCACGCATATCACACTACATTATGTTGATGTACCTACATCTTACTCTCAGGCTTCTACACAAACTTGTTGGAAAGAGGCAATATCAGAAGAGTTTCGTGCATTGAATGAAAATTCTACTTGGGAATTTGTTGATAAACCAATAGTTGGAGTTCTCATTGGAAGTAAGTGGGTGTATTCCATTAAACTTAAGGCGAATGGTACAATTGATCGCTACAAAGCTCAATTAGTTTCTCAAGGGTACAAACAAGAGTATGGGGTGGATTATGAGAGACGTTTGCACCTGTTGCTAAGATGACAATGGTACAGACATTATTAGTTGTGGCTTCAATGAAAGGTTAGACCTTGCATCAGATGGATGTGAAAAACACATTTCTCTATGGCGATCTAGAAGAAGTTGTGTTTATGAAACCACCACCTGGGTGTGTTCTGCCAAGACCAAATGCAGTTTGTCATCTTCGAAAATCTCTTTATGGCTTAAAACAGGCTCCCGAGCTTGGTTTGACAAATTTCGATCCACGATTCAAACTGGGGGCTTCTCTTAAAGTTCTTCAGAACATTCATTGTTTCTTCATACTTCTCCATTAGGTATCACAAGACTTCTCATCTATGTTGATGATATCATTATCACAGGAAATTATCTAGAGAAAATTACTAAGTTGAAAGAATTCTTGCATACCTCATTTAAGATGAAGGACTTGGGACGACTGACATACTTTCTTAGACTTGAGGTTTTATACTTGCCTACTGGGATCATGCTTACACAACAAAAGTATGCTCATGATCTTGTTGTAAGGGCTGGTCTTACTGATGACAAGGTTGTGTACACCCCAATGGAGATTAATACAAAGTATAAGGAGGTTGATGGAGAACCATTCAATGATCCAACATTGTATTGGCAGTTGGTGGGATCCTTAGTTTATCTCACTATGACAAGGCCAGACATCTCATATGCAGTACAGGTTCTAAGTCAGTTTATGATTAATTCTTACCGTATAGATCACACTACATTTCTTCGTCTCATTCGATATATTCATGGTTCTATGAGTCAAGGTGTTCTTTTCCGTTCTGATTCTTCTATACATCTTGAAGGATATACTGATGCAAATTGGGCTGGTTGTCCTACTTCTCGTCGCTTTATTACTGGTTGGTGCATGTTCTTGGCACATCCTTGATATCTTGGAAATGTAAGAAACAATCTCGTACATCTAAATCATCTATAGAGGCTGAGTATTGTGCTATATCGGCAGCAAGTTCAGAAATTGTTTGGTTGCGACGTCTATTATCTGAGCTCAGTGTCGCTATTACATCTCCTATAGTGCTACATGTTGATAGCACTAGTGCGATTAAAATAGCCACAAACCCAGTGCAACATGAAAACACAAAGCATATAGAGGTGGACTGCCATTACATTAGAGAATTGGTTATCGATCGTCTCATCACTCTACAACACATTCCTTCTCATGATCAACTTGCTGATTTGTTTACAAAGGCGATGACACGAGCACGACATCAATATCTTATCTCTAAATTGCTATTCTGTGATCAGCGGTATCAATTTGAGGGGGATGTTAGGAAAAGTTATAATTGTGTAGTAATCAGAAAATATTTTTTTTCTTAGAATAAGACTAATTTACAGAATATACATTCATAATCATATATACTCCTTCCTAGAATAGAACTTTAACCCTACAATTGTATAGCTATAAATATGTGCTTTCTACTGTATCATTAATATATTGAGAATACTATTTTTCAGAATATCTTTAGTCTCTCTAGCAGGATATAATACTCTCATAGATATTTTCCTTGAGTTTTACTTACACATGAGACAAATTAAATGTCTTAAAAGGTCGTGGTAGCCGGTAGGGGTGTCAATCAGGTAAATTGGATTGGATTAAGACATGTTAAAATAGACCGAGTTATAAATGTATTGGATTAAAATTGATTTAAACTTATGGTAAAACTAAAATCCTTAGCCTTTTTCATGTGTGTCTTGCATAATATGTCTATGGTTGTCTTAAGGCACTGCCAAACATTACTTTCGCAACATACTTGCATCTCACATAATGTAACATCTCCCACGACTACACGTCTAGGCTAACAGACCTTTGCTTGCAAGGCTGAACCTAAGCCATGTTCACAAGTCAACACACGAGGCTCTTAAGAGTGGTGCCTAGAATGTTCAATGAACACGTATGTGTGTATCATTCTTAGGGTTAGCTAGCCCATAGGGCCTAATCGGTTTATACATCAAGCCTCTGGACTCATTGAGTGCTCAATGTTATCCTTGAGACTGAGCGGTGCACATAGAGTTTCCTAACTCTTATAAGCACCTTTGGACACTCCTTAGAGATACCTAGATAGGCCTGTGGGGTACCCCTCAAAGTTCCTTACTTGGTACAGCTTGATGACAAGTTTTAACTTAAGAATCATGATGTCGTTTCTTTCTAATACGAACTCTAAACAAGGTGACTTTTGTTCAATTATACTTGTATTGACTTTCTTCACACATGCATGAAGTTTCATCCCATTCCCATATTCGTGGAAGGAGATATAGCCTTCGAAAGCTTCAACTAATTACAACAATGCCACTACTTGTTAGGTGAACTATCTCGAAATGGAACCAAACTTGGTGACATTGGTGAAACTTCTTTGGCAGTCTTAGAAAATGCAATGTGACACGTCTACATCATCATCGCCTCCCTCATTTTATTTTCCTTCGTACCAAATAATCCTTAGAAGTCGACTTTTTATTTCATTCTCAATTACAATCAAGCCAAGAAAGAGCAATAACTTAACCTCATCAAAATGCAAAGTAGCCAAGGCAAAAAAGAAAAATTAAAAAGGAAAACCTACCTAAAAAGGTAAAAGATATACAAAAAAAACTAAAAGAATGTTAGCATGGTTAATTATTTATATTTTATATACAACATTATATAGGTAAATTATTATCATTCATTTGATATTGTCTATGTTCTTGTTCTTTTTCTTCTTCTACATCCTCTACATCCCAAAGAAAGTGAGCATAGGAAGCCAACACATAGCTGCATCATTGAAAAAAAATAACTTAAGTCAAATTAAAAGACACATATATGTATTATGCCTTTGAAAAATAAGGTAAGTTTTAGAATATACGAAATGATCAGTTGTTTGGTTGAAATTAGAATAAGAGATAATAATTTCGAAATATATGAGTAATGAATTGTTACCAATCGTTTGGTGCAACTTTAACAGCTTTGTCAAAGTAGTTGTTAGCTCGAGGGACATCTTTATGTGTTCTCCAAATTAAATCAGCATAGAATGAAAGTACATTTCCATCACTTGGATTTGCTAACATTGCTCTTTCACAATATTCTTCTGCTTTCACCAAGTTTCCACTCACCTGTTTGATATTCATCAATTTACAAAATAAAAAACTTTTAGGAATAGAGTGAACATGTGCAACTCCAATGTTTTATTTTAAATCTATATATTACCATTACTATATATTGTCGATGAGAATGATCCTACATTAGACTCGATTGACTACTTATAAGGTCTTAGATAATTTATTTATTTTTTTAGATATAGCTTTTGGCGTCCAAAGCTTTATTTGATATGATATTAGAGTAATGTTCATATCTGTTTGGGCGGCTTTCAGTCCATGCTTTAGTTGGACCTAAATGTAAAGAGAGGTGTAGTCATAGAGGCGAAACCAAAATTTAGAATTTATGAGTTCAGGATTTTAGTTCTTTAAAGTTATTAGATTCTAAATCTATTAATTTGTATGTATTCAATAATTTTTTTTAAATACAAATATAGATGAATCTGGACCAAAGCTAGTGGGTACGGTCGAACCACAATCATTAGAGTAGGTTTAGAATCCTACATTAGTTGGAAAATTGATTAATTCTCAACTTAAATGGATCTGGACAATCCTTCCCTCAAGAGCTAGCTTTTGGAGTGTAAGTTACGCTCAAAATTTATTTAATATGGTATCAGACTTTGGCCCATTGAAGTCGATGTTGGTCATGCAAATTTCATTTACGCACACGTGCAACACATGACCATCATGTAGTGCACGTCATGTGATATAACACGTGTCATCCAATCGACACGTGTCATTTTATCGTACATAAACACCTCCTAATCATGATATGACCACTTAATTCTCTCCACTTTCCATCAAAAAAATGCAAATTAAAGTTTATAATTAGTACCTCTTTCAAGAATCTTGCATAATTTCCAAGAAGTAGTGAGTTCCCAGGATTAGCTTGAATCATCCTTGTGTAATACAAATCAACACTAAACTCAGAACTATCTCCATCAGATTCACCACCACCACCACCACATTTTTTTCCTCTACCGTCTCCTCCACTTCCACCACCGTCAACCACCAGTTGCTCCACCGCCCTCGTGTGTTTCTCTTCCTCAACTTCATGTCTCTCCACCATTTCCAACCCGGAATTTGAAAGTAACATCAACCTATTTGTCAATCCTATCTGCTAAAAATATAATTAAGTAAATAAAATAATGTTATTATATTAACATTAATAGTTTAAGTTCTTGAATGATCAGATGGACACATTAATTTCAATATAGTATCAAAGAAGGCAAACAAAGTTCATCTTAGATTTAAATCTCACTGTCATTCATTATCAAAAAATATTATATATGTTAGGCTATTAAAAGGAAGAGTCTAATTTATATATTGTAAAATTAGTTTTTGAATCTAATTCACACCGCCAAAAAGTTAGCTCAGAGAAAGAAAGATTCTCCAAGCCTTGCGTATTCATTCAAAGAGCTGGCAATAACTTTCTTTCCACTCGGAAATCGTAGTAAGCTGGGAGAAATACATTCATATATTCCTCGAGAGGAGCTTCCTCATCTCATTAACTATCAATGCGAGACTTTTGTCATTCTTTAACACTCCACCTCACGTGAGATGAGTCCTACTATGATATCATGTAAAATTAGATCTTAAGTCTAACTCATACCCCAAAAGCTAGCTCAAAAGTAGGAGTGTAGGAGGATTGTCCAAATCTTATAAGGAGTCCACCCGTATGATTAATCATCAGTGTGGGACTTTTGTAATTTTTTAACATATAAATCGACTACGATTAGTGTAATTTTTTTTAATACTATCAGGTCATCTTACATGTGGCAGTATACATGTAAGCTCATATATATTCTTTGGTTGACTTGATAGTGTTATCTCTTCTCACATTAACATTGTTATAACTTAAAACTCTAAAAAAGAATCACTCCATATTTGGCCAGGATGTGTTGAAAACATAATTAAGCCAATGAAAAAAGAATTAAAACCGCACGTGAAGAGCCCTCCAAGACATAATCAAGCCCATGGAATTATAAGAATATATTATGCACATAAGGAGGCGTATTAAGGACATAATCATGAAAAAGAGTCAAAATGATACGTGAGGAGAGGTATGTTGAACACATAATTAAATAAATAAAAGTGTACTCTCTCCCGACCGTGAGAAATGAGAATTTCTAACAATTCATGAACATTATATACCTCATCTTCTTTATCCTCTTCACCAAATGTGTTAGGAAGTAGCAGATTGTGCAAGGCCATGCAACGTGAGTTTCTTGAATTAGATGATGATGATGATGCCCTATTGAGATCAGTTTCAGATAAAACTCTAGACATCTTCTTTTGTACTGAATTACATTCTAATTGTGAGAGTGATGATAATGTTGACAAGTATTTTTTTGGTTCTTGTGGGAAACATGAATAATATTGTTGCTTGAGTAATGGACTTAAAGAGCTACGAAGAAGCATCATTAATTTAATTTGAGGTAGCAAGAGTTATAGTTTGACATTTTATAGGGAAAACAATACATGGGGCAATCAATATTTTAGCGCCTCACATTATTGTCTTGTTTTTTTTTAAAAAAAAAATTCTCATTTGATGTCTGATATTTCTATTGGAGCACTGACTAATCTGAATACACCTCGTGTAAGGGACATTAAGGAGAAAGTGTTTTCTTGATTTTTTTTCTTTCATATTCAAAGTTCGAATCTGAAACCTCAAATTAAGGGTGAAGAAATTTTATCTCTACCATCTCAAATTATTTCATCTCTTTTGATTTCTTATGCAATATCTCATATCCCCATCAGAACATCAACTAATCTGAATTCATTTTGTGTAAGGCCTAGTAAGGAGGA